AAAAGAAAGCTTTGTGAGTATTAGAAAAATGCTCATATGAAACATAATGGGTTAATAGGTGTACTGTCGAGGAGTCCTGATTGGAACTTGATAGTGTGTGGTCGATGGATGGGGGAAGATCCACTTGATAATAACTCAAGTGTCTTGGTTGTGTCCTTTGTCTCTTTTGCCTTCCTTCTACAATCCCCTGTTGAGCAACAGGTTGCTCCAAATGATCTTTCGAGTGCGTGTCATGAAATTCATCACTTCGTGTGTTCTCGATAATTTCTTCCGATTGATCCTCCAAAACATCTTCGATCAAGACGTTATTAAGGCTATTGGTATCTTTCGTATTATCTTGCGCGGGAACTTCCCCTATCTCCATAGTTTCCGAATTTTCATCATGAGATCCATCACACTATGAGATGGGACTCAAGTGTTCAAAAATTTCTTGTTCAGAAATTTTTAACTGGGTTTTCGAGAAAGGAAAAATATCTTCGGTAAATTTAACATCTCTCGTCATTACCGTCTTTCTTTGTTCTAAATTGAAGATCTTATATCCCTTCTTTCTGGGAGGGTACCCTAGGAATACCCCTGACTTTCCTTTTGGTTCGTACTTATCCCCATTCGTCTCGGTGTTAGACAACCAAAAACTCTCATGTGGTCGTATTCGGGAATCTTTCCAAATAAGACCTCATATGGTGTTTTATCATCTATCACTTTTGAGGGTAAACAGTTAACAATGTACGTAGCTGTCAGTACACACTCCCCCCAAAAGGTTGTGGGAAGACTTGATTCAAAACGTAAAGCTCGAGCGATTTCTAAGAGGTGTCTGTGTTTTCGTTCTACTACTCCATTTTGTTGTAGGGTATGTGGGCAAGTGGTTTCCAAAATGATTCATTGTCCTCTATAAAATTCATTCATGATGTTTGAATCAAATTCCCCACCATTGTCCCACCTATTCCTTTTAATATTTTTTCAAATTATGTTTTCACCATCTCACAAAAATCAATTAGGCAAGTGCTTGCCTCATTTTTGTGCTTGATCACGTATACCCATACCTCCCTACTATAGCCATCGACTATAGTAAGGAAGTAGGTTGCCCCTGTTAACGATGGTTTTCTATATTTCCCCCAAATATCACAATGAATCAAACCGAAACAATGGGTAGTTTTAATGTTACTAATCGGAAAAGGTAATCGAGTGAGTTTTGCTTTATTACAAGAATCACAAACCATTGTTCTAAAATTCGAGCAATATCCTTAAGAAAATTAACACGAGGCAACTTTAAGTGAGATGCATGCCCAAATCGTTTATGTCATGCATCCATTGACACCATCATTGCTTTCCTTTTTTCTTTTATCCCCCCATCCAATAGAGACCATCACGATAATCACCAGCTCTAATCAAGCTCCCCGCTTCCAAATCATGTAAAACAAAGAAATTGGGAAAAAAACGTTATTGCCCAATTAAGTTCTTTGGTAAGTCTCCGAACCGATAAGAGATTGCACATGGAATTTGGAACAAAAAGGACTCCTTCGATGTTCACTCCTTCTTTAAAGGCAATTTCACCTTTTCCTTTCACAGGAATGGGTTCCCCATTAGGGAAAGTGACATGCCTTTCATTGATGTTTGCCGATAAGGTTTTAAAGTGATGCTCCTGGTAGGTTATGTGTTCGGTGGCACCCGAATCCACAACCCAATCACCATCATTACTTATTCTACCTGCCATGTTCGATACAATCGCTTTTTCTTTGTTTCCTCCCAACAGTTGGAGGAAGCTGGTGTACTGTTCTTCCGTCATCCCTGGAATAGGGCATGATTTTGTTTCGACCATGGTTGCCCGTGGTTTCAATTTATCTCCCTTTCCTTTGCGCGACCAATACTCAGGATAGATGATTCATTTGAAGCATCCCTACCTATCATGCCCTCCTTTTCCACAATGATTACATGGTCCGGCTTGAGGAGTGATTTTCTCATATTTCATCCAACTCTTTTCACGCCATTTCTTTGGTTGATATCGCTTCTCTTGGAAACTGGCTTGAAACGCAGCAGTCCCATGAATAGGCTTCTTTGAACCGGTGATCGTGCGTTGTTTATCATCTTCAGCAACAAGGTGATAGACGATACTCAGTTTTGGTGTTGACTGCATAGCCAATATCTGTGTTTTGATAACACTGAATTGGCATCCAACCCCATCAAGAACTCAAAGGTTCTTTCCTTTTCTTTGAGTTCAGTCAGTTTCTTAGTGAGCCCGCATGAACAACCATCACAAGAACAACGAGGAGTTGGAAGAATTGACTCCATTCCGTCCTACAGAACATGTAATCTGGTATATAATAGGCTGACACAGTTGTGCCTTCCTGTCGGGTGGTGTTTAATGACCACTTATTCATAAGCCTTGGGTGCACTCTCCTTTCCAAAGCGTTATTTTAAGTCTTGCCAGATTTCTGTTGCGGTCTTAGCGTATTTCACGCTGTTGCGAATCTTCTTCTCCATGGTGGTCAACCAACCTTTGACCATTGTATCACAACACATCCAAAGTAGGTATTTGTCTGAATTCACCTCTGGTTTTTCAATAGCGTCGTCGATGAAGCCGGTTTTGTTCTTTGAAAACAAGAAATTAATCATCTCTTGTTCCCAATCACCATAATTTTTTTTTCAGTTACCACATCGTTCACGTGCAACTACTTTGGGTAGTCGGAAGCTTGTAGATAGAGGGGAGAGTTGTGATCAATTGACTCTCCATCATTCTTGTTCTTGTTGTTTTTGTAGGCATCATCGGCAGCCACGAGGAATGATTAGGGGTTTTTTTCTGGATCTGATGCTCTGATACCATATACAAATAGGTACCAAAAGAGTGTCAATTTTATTAAGGTAAAAAGGAATTTATACATACATGGATTACAAGTAATGGAAAAAGCTAAAATTAAGGGCTATACAAGTAAACAATATATACGATTGAGAGAAGATTAGGGAATGACAACTAGATTCCAATAGTTTTGTCTGGGGTGATTGGAATTGGTAAGGAAGTAAGGCGAATATATATCAAGAATGGATTTTTCTCCATTAGATGAACCTGGTCGTTCACCGCTTGACATTATAGATAAACACTAGGATTGGATTCCTAGGATCCTTTTGTAGGATATGAGAGTAAAGATAAGTATATAAATTAGATAAGGATCTAATCCATGTAGAACAAAAAAAACGTAAATAAAGATAAATATAAGGAAACTAAAATAATCTCAACACATACATCTCATTTTGGGTAATATATATCATTTAATGCCTCTTCAAAATAATCAAACTTCACCTTTTTAGGAGCGTTGGTGGTCCACATGATGCTTGTCAGGCTCAAAATAACTCAGGCTATCCGGAGTAGATAGCTCTGTACGGGTGAAGGGCTGAGCTGGAGGGGCTCAGGACGCGTGAACACCGCCCCTAGCCCCGATGGTTTGGCTGTGGCGTCTCCATGTAGACTGGGGAAGACACCCAATAGGAAAATGGGAGCAACATCGGTCTCTCTTTATCTCTCTTCTTTTTGCCTCTTCACCACCAACCTACCGGTGAACACCATTTTCACAATCTGGTGGGCGGGTTGGTTGTGAAATGGTAAAAAATCTACGTGGCCTCACCCTTATTCACAAACCACGCATGAACATGGCCAATAGCCTCACTTCTAGAAAAAACACCAATGTTGATACCCTTTTAAATCTTGAACATATCAAAAAATGCCCCTTTCTTTTCCAGAGGTTCCCTTTTACACCACCTACATAATTGGTCCGTTTTCTAGACCAAACCACAAAGGGATTCTTACTAATAAGAATGATGAAAATAGTTTCTTAAATTGAGGTCATTATTCACCACATTCGCCTTGAACATTTATTCTTAGGACAATCCTGTTTCCAACGTCCATTTCTGCCACACTTTTGGCAACCATCTCGCGGTTGGACTTTTTATCAGGAGATCTTGATCTACCCCTCATTTTCTTTTTTCGGCTGCCAATTTGTACACGTACATGCTTTGATCTTCACCCCATTACACACTCAATCCAAATGTTTGATCTTCCCCAATAACACCCAATTCCTTGTGCCTCAACTCTTGAGAATGTAAAAATGGTCTCCCCTCATCTAATGTAACACTGTCTTGGTTGACTACAAATAAGTTACTAAGTTCTCAAATGAAAGTGCAAATGATAGTAGAAGGATGATGTTCATGTCCCTGTACTTTATTTTTTTAATTCCATTTTTTTTAAATCGATTATGATGAAATTAAGCTCATTCAATTCAAATGCCCTTTCAAAATATAATATTCCTTTATTTTAAGCGAAAACAAGTGTTACTTATAAGCTTGTTTGCCAAACAAGGCTAAGTCATATCTAAATGGACCTTTTCTTCTGTTTTGTAACCATACGAAAATGATAGCGATCAATAATATACAACATAAGATTCCATGTGAGTAATCACGTGAAGGTTATATATTATATTTAAGGATCGGGGATGTTTCTTTATATCACGTATTGGATTAGTTTAGTAGGTTTAATTTTTTACTCTTTATGTAAATCTTTCTAACGATTTACCGAAAATGGATTTTCTAATATGTGCCCCAAGGGAACATATAAGAAACATTAATTGAAGTATTAATTATAACAAATATTACCATAATTAAATGTGATAAACATTAATTATGTATAATATTAACATAATTAAATGTATTTTACATTTAATTATGGTAATATTATACATAATTAATGTTTATCGCATTTAATTATGGTAATAATCCTCATAATTAATACTTCAATCAATGCTTCGTATATATGCCCTTAGGCACATATTAGAAAATCCACAGAAAAAGCTTCTTAATTATGGTATATAGTCATTTTACTGAAATTTCAAAATGGCATACACATTCGGCAAGCGGAAGCGGAACAGAAACTGAAGACATAGATAGAGTTCCAACAGAAATTGAAACAGAAGACGCAGATATTGTTTTAGTGGAAACAGAAAATCAAAACAAACTTAATGTTTTCAATTGAGACAAAAACAGAAGAAAAAGAAACACTTGGAACAGAAAGAGAACCTAAAGTCCTAATTATAAGAGATATAAAAAAAATTGAAGACCAGAAAAAGATCACACGCAACAAGGGGTTGCTTATGGCTATTGTGCAAGGGAGATGGCGGAAAGTAGAATCCACACTCGAACAAGATAAAGCCGCAGCCACAGAGGCAATAAACAGTGATTGCAACACCGTGCTTCATATAGCCGTTGGAATAGGTCATAACTTTCTCGTCAATGAAATTGTTAGACACTCATAGGTCTCTCATACGTTTCCATTCTTTAATGTGATTTTTCATCTTCTTGTAATTTTTCTTATTCTGTAAGGGTTGTATATGTAAATTATTCTTATTATAAAATGCTTGCTTCTCCACTGTATTTGGTATGGAGACTCTTTCTGTCATGGTATCATTTGCCTAAAGATCCTATTTTTTCTCATTTCCTTCTCTGCACATTTTCTTTTTCTCTCTTCTAATCCATGGCAGGTTCCACCTCCGCTGATACTCTCCTCCCCATTAACACTCTTATGCATCTCATTACTATTCGTCTTTCCCCCTCAAACTATTTTTTATGCAAGAGTCAACTTATTCCTCTCCTCACACATCAAAATCTGATGGGTCACGTTGACGGCACCTCCTGTGCTCCACCCACAGAACTCCTCGTTGATGACAAATCCTCACCAAATCCGGCGTACTCGGTATGGCTTGCTGCTGATCAGCGCACCGTTATCATCCTCCATGTCTCTCTCACTGAAGAGGCTTTCTCTGAAATTATTGGGCTTTCAGGATCCAACTTTTCCTCATCATGTGTGTCATCTAAACAAAGTTCTCTATGGACTTAAACAGGCTCCACGGGCTTGGTTTCATCGGCTAAGCACCTTTCTTGTTGCTAGTGGGTTTGTTTGTAGCAAGGCGGATACTTCTCTGTTTGTATTCAAACGGGACTCGTGCATCTTGTACTTGCTTGTCTATGTCGATGATTTAATTTTGACTGGAAATCAAGAGGCCGTCATCCAGTCTTTTATCACCAAATTACACGATACGTTTGCTATCAAGGATCTCGGTCGCCTTAATTTCTTCCTCGGGCTTGAAGTCATCTATACTGATACTGGCTTATTTCTCAGTCAATCTAAGTATGCTCATGACATTCTTCAGCGAGCGGCTCTTCTTGACGCCAAACCAGCTACCACCCCACTTGCTTCCAATGTTGCCTTTGTCACGAGTGGTGAGCTATTTGATGACCCGACTCACTATCGGTCTCTTGTTGGTGCGCTGCACTACTTGACCATCACACGTCCTGACATTTCATATGCGGTAAATCAAGTTAGTCAGTTTCTTCAGACTCCTACGCGTTCTCATTTTCAGAGTGTCAAGCGCATTCTCCGATATGTCAAGGGCACTATGTCCTTTGGCCTCACATTTTCTCGCCATAACTCCCCTGGCCTTCTTGGTTATTCTGATGCAGACTGGGCTCGGTGTCTTGAGACACGTCGTTCTACTTATGGCTACTCTATTTTTCTAGGCGGCAACCTTGTATCGTGGAGTGCTAAGAAACAACCCACCATCTCTCGCTCGAGTTGTGAATCTGAGTATCGTGCCATGGCAAACACTGCTGTAGAAATAATATGGATCACTCATTTACTGCGGGAGCTGCATGCTCTACCTCCGGATCGACCAACGCTTTTGTGTGATAATAAAAGTGCCTTATTTCTCACACAAAATCCGGTCTCTCACAAACGAGCTAAGCACATTGAGTTGGATTATCATTTCATTCGTGAACTTGTTTCTTCTGGGAAACTTCACACCAAATTTGTTCCTACCAAGCTTCAGGTGGCGGATATCTTTACAAAGAGTCTACCCCGACATCAATTTGAGTTCTTCCGCGACATGTTGTGAATCAAACCGCCACCATTTCGCTTGAGGGGGGATGTGAGACACTCATAGGTCTCTCATACGTTTCCATTCTTTAATGTGATTTTTCATCTTCTTGTACTTTTCCTTATTCTCTAAGGGTTGTATATGTAAATTATTCTTATTATAAAATGCTTGCTTCTCCACCGTATTTGGTATGGAGACTCTTTGTGTCAGAAATATTAACTTTAATCAAACCCGGACAATTACTTAAAATGTTAAATTTAGATGGAAGCACTTCCCATCACATTGAAGCAAATGGTTGGCAACACAGAAGCAGCAACGCTCTTGATTAAAAATGACAGACGTTTGTTGGAAATTCCAGACCATAAAGGTGAAACACCTTTGGATAAAGCTTATCAAAATATGCATCTTGACACCATTGATTTTTTGCTGAAAGCTGTGTACGATGATATAAAACCCAAGAAACAGTCTTCTACTTTAGAGGATTCTGTTAGCCCTGGTGTAAAACTAGGCGTTAACCTTCTTGTTAATGTTGTTTCTGCAAAGAAATATGGTGCGTACCCAATATTTTTTAAAATATTTACTGCTTTAAATATTCACAGTTTTTCGAATATGCTTGCAGAGTTTGCTGTGGAAAATGATAATGTACTTCTGGCAATAGCTAAAACTTTTCCAATGGGGCTGGATTACTGGGAAACACTTATATATCCAAGTAAGTTTCTACTATACTAGAGATATATAATCTCTTTGTTATTCATTTTTTATTATGATTTTTTCCTTTCAGTTATGGGTGATATCTGTGAAAGGATAGTCAAGAGAGGCAAGGACTCGTTTACAATATTTGTAGACTTCTACGAAGGCATGATGTGCTTAATAGAAGATATACCTGACGAAGTGATCTTTGTTTGTGGACAAATGCTACTATTCATGACGTTAATGGGTGAGCCATTGATATATAACCTGTTAATATAACACCAAAATTAATCATATAATTGACATCACAAAATATAACCTATTTTAAAAATGAAAGTTTTCTGCTTATGCAGGTCCATATCTCATACTTACTTGGATTTATATCATGATTCGCCTACTCATGCTGATTCTCTATTTTCCATTCTTTATGTTTTATTTCCTCTTCTGGAAGGTTGCAACAAGAGTAGGTATAAAATGACTCAATTTATATCAGTTGCGTTTAAACTACAATTAACTTGTATATAATATAAAATTGATGATTGTTTTGAACCAATTATTTTCCAACTTTCAATTCTACCCATTAAGCATATGGAGAAGAAAATGAAGGAACAGAAAGCAGCAAAAGAAGTTCTAAAAATGGTATGTTATGAAATAGACAAGTTGGAATTCCCTGATGCTCATCCTCGCTATTACACGAGACCAATTCTTGAGGCTGCATGTCAAGATATTTATGAGGTTGTTGATGAGATTTTAATGAGATCCCCTGAAGCAGTTCGATATAAAGATGAGAGTGGGTATGACGTTATACAGTTAGCAGTTATACACCGTTCAGAAAAAGTCTACAACCTTATCTATACCATTGGGGAGCGTAAGAGTGTTTACAGAATGATCGAAGATTCTTCGAAGAACAATATGTTGCACTTGGTTGGAAGATTACCTCCTTTGCAGAAACTCAGACATAGAACAGGCCCAGCATTACAACTACAGAGAGAGCTTCACTGGCGCCAGGTACATCCGAAATAAATTCTTAACCATTATTGTAGCTAGGGAATTGAAGTAATATATTTTTTGTTTTATATATATAGTAGCAAAAATAATGGGTTAAATTTATTTTACAGGAAGTGGAGAAGCTCGTGTTTCCCAGTTGCACTACTAAAGAGAACATTTTTAAGGAGACACCAGATAAGGTGTTCAGAAGGTAGCACGAAAATTTGGTGAAGGAAGCAGAAAAATGGATGAAAGCAGTAGCAGAATCATGCAGCATCACTGCAGCACTAATTACCACAATTGTGTTTGCGGTAGCCATTACAGTACCAGGTGGAAGCAATCAAGAAACAGGCATCCCTGTGTTTACAAAAGAAATTGCTTTCACGATCTTTGCAATAACAGATGCAATCTCACTATTTGCATCCAGCACAGCATTACTGATGTTCTTGTCGATCCTCACAGGAAGTTTTGATGAGAGAGATTTTCTCTTCACTTTGCCAAGACTACTGATGATTGGTCTTTGCACCTTGATGCTATCTACAACTGCCATGATGGTGGCATTTGGGGCAACGTTGTTCCTTGTCTTTTGTCATAAAAGACCATGGATGCTTGCTCCAATTTGTGTATTATCTTCGGTCCCGATTGCAACTTTTGGCACACTTCAAATCCCCCTCATAGTAGATCTCTGTCGGTCGACATATGGACACATCTTCGGCATTCCAAAAAAAATTAACAAATTGACGTCGGATAACATACAATTGTTTTTTGGTAAGTGAAACGAATATGCATCTATAGGGTCCAAGAATTATACATTCATTATGCTATTGTGAATAGTCAGATTTAAGAATTGAATCCTAGTTTGATAATTAAAAGTATTTCATATATTACATGTCTCTTCAAGCTCTTGATGCATTGATGAATATTTAAGAATTGTAGATGAATAATTGAATAATTTAATGGAAACTAATTGTTCAGGATGAGAATTTGTTAAGTGTCAGGGTATGTTTAATTGGCTGGATGGAATGAAATGGATTAAATAATGGAATGGATAAGGTAATTGAATGGATTATTATCATATGATTGTCGTGTTTGTTTACTCAAATGTAAATAAGTCATTAAAACTTGTTGTTTGTACGGAGGTATGAAAATTCAAATAAATGGAATGAATTAATGGGCATTGACAAAGTACCATCGTAACATAGAATGCATACGATTTACAAAATTTTAACAACATTATCCTGGAAATTTTTTTTTTACTAGAAACCAGATCTGCTTGAAAATTAAGGTTCATCATATAGTTGCTCTTTTGTGTTCTTGATATATAATCATGGTCAAATTTACGATTCATGATATGATAAGCTACCATCCTTTCCCACTGCAAGCAAATAATTTTTTTATTTACACTGACATCATCGTGCTTGTACCAAAGATGCGTTCTCTGTGTTGGATCTAAGTAGCTCGTAACAGATATTATAGGGTTCTATTTTAGGGCATTAAGTTTTATGCAAAAGCTCAAGCAATGGTCAAATTAAAGTTGAAATACCTACTACCAAGGATTAGTGTCTTTCCCTAACAGACGGTTACCATGAACCATGCTCAGTTGCAGATGGCAACGGCTGTTTCTGAAAATCTTGTAGTTCATGTATTTTATCAAACAACTAATATGCATGTAAAATTAATATATATTAATGTTCAACAGCACAACCCACAAAAATCAGTTTCATTGAACAAAGATCGTAGTAACAACTAAAATTATAAAACTCGTGATAAACACTTGGTTGGAAAAATCGCTACCCATCACAATACCTGAAATACGAAAAAGAAAAGAATCAAATTTAGGTGATATTTAGAAGTTACATAAACATAATTGTTTTGATAACAAGTGAATTGTCTGTGTACCATGTGTCTTCGTTTCTCCAAACCAACAAAGCATACATATTCCAATGATTTAATGTAGATGTTAAACACCACACCCTCATCTCGGCATGTCTAGTTGGGAGGGTTAACGGGGCAACCGGTTGCAGATGAGGAAGAGTGTGTGATTTTTTTGTTTTTTGTTTTTTTGTTTTTTTATCACTTCCAAAAAAATACTTCTTTTTTCAAAATATAACCTTTTTTTTCCCAAAATTTCAAAGTTTAAACTATTCATCAACTACTATAAATACCAATAAACTTCTTTATTTTCCACCACCATCAAACATTTTTCATTCATCTCTCCATAACTTCTTATTTTCCACCGCCTTCAACCTTCTCCATCTCTCACAATGGTTTATTTTTGGACCATGGATAAAGAGATCATTTTGGCTCGTGCATAAGTCGATGTAAGTGAGAATCCGAATAGCAACTACCTCAAAATTGTTCTTGCTAGAGCAAAGCGAATGTGGCAGCAAAAAGAATGTGACAAAAATGACACTACTCCTTCTAGCCTAATAGGTTAAATTGTTATTCATGAAGGGTGAAATCCGCAATTTTCATTCTTTTGCATAAAAGAATAATAATAATAATAATAATAATAAAGAACGGTGTAACCAAGAAAAAAAAATCATGATTTTGCAGGCTTGACATTCCTTATCAAAATATGACATTCCAATCCAAAATTTATTTTTTTCATTTCTTGTTAATTACTTATTCTAATCCCATGCTTATTAATACATATCAAACAGAGGCTTAAAGTTATAGTATGGAGAATATTGTGTTTCATATGTGGCGAGATTTGTAGTCTTAGTTCCACAATAGAAGCTTTTTGAAAGTTTTTTTTTCTTTTTTTTTTAGAATGAAAAGGCTTTGAAAAAGCTTTAGGGACGGGACACAAACACTAAACTTAGAGAGGGTGAAACTATGTTAGGCTTGTTTATTGAAAAATGGATTAATCAAATATAGTTGTTTAATCATTGCTATAATTAGGATGAATTGTATGGCCTTGAAAAGAAAATAACTAGATCTTGAAATAACTCATTAATTTGGAGGCTTCAAAATTTTAATGTAAGAAATGCAATAACAAGAGTTTAATTTTGCACCGCATTTTGGTAACGATGCTGATTTGAAGAAATCAAACTATATTGGACATGAAAAGGTAGACTATAATCTCTAGTCTACATGTTGATATTGCCTTCACGATCTTGGCAATATCAAATGTAAATATCACTATTTGATGAAGTTTTGATGAGAGAGATTTTCTAGTCACTTTGCCAAGACTGATGATTGGTCTTTGCGCCTTGATGCTGTCTACAACTGTCATGATGGTGGCCTTTAGGGTAACGTTGTTCCATGCCTTTTGTCATAAAAGACCATGGATGTTTGCTCCAATTTGTGTATTATCTTCAGTCCCGATTACTACTTTTGGTACTCTTCAAATCCCCCTCATAGTAGATCTCTATCACTCAACATATGGACACATCTTTGTCATTCCAAAAAAAAATTAATAACAAATTGAAGACAGATGACATACACCTGTTTTTTGGTCAGTGAAATGAATATGCATCTTGAATTGACACATCTAGGGTCTGACAATTATACATTGATTATGTTATGGACAAATGTCATATTAGTCCACCAAACTTATCGTGTTTGTTCTAAAAGGTTACCAAACTTTTTTTTGTACATTAAGGGAATAAACTCTTATTTTCATGTTCTAAAACATCGTTATGTGACCTGATACCGGGTAAGTAATGCGTTGACCACTGTTGGACCATCAATTGCACCTCCATCAAAATATCCTCACCATATCTACCCTTCTTGATCAGTTCAACTAGTTCTTTTCATTTTTGGATCAATCGAACTGAAAAACTGGATGATTGATGATTCATTTTCAGATCAATCAAACCCTTCTTGATTAGCTTAAACTTTCTCACCATATCAGTTACTTTTATTATTGGGTCTCTTCATAATCTTAGAAATTTGTCTCTTATTAACAATCGAACCCTTCTTCAGTGGGTTGTTAAAAACGGGTATTGGAAGACTTTCTAATCTCAAAATTCTGCAATTTCATGGCATTGTTTTTCGGGCCCCTCCCAGGTGAAATAGCACTAGTACAAAAAATAACCTACGGTCATACTTTTCAAAAAATGGCCTATGACACTTTTTATTTAAAGTGTGGCCAAATGTCACTAAAAAAATCCCGTGACTGCTTTTGGATACATTTAAATTAGTTTATGTGGCCATTGTACAAATAATCAAAACTTTAACAACACTTAATTATACCAAATGTGACAATTATTAGCCACACTCGAACGTTGTGACCATATATCACCATCAGCTACGAATACTGATTAGCATTATGATACATTTTTTATATGAGACAATAGATAAATATATGGTGACATGAGACAATTTTATATGTTTCTATATCATGGTGCCCTTTTAGACATATGAAAGCCAATGTAGCTAAAAGGTGATACATATGGTCACATTAAATATTTGTGTGTCCATAGGGTGGTGTTTATTAGCGACTTAGTAAAAGCAAGAAAACAAGTTACTTTTAGTGGTATATGGTTATGTGCCTTTTATTATGTGTGTCAAAATATGATGAATTGGCTTGAAAAAACAAATATTGTGAGTGTAAGTAGCATTTGGTTATGTTTACAATTATTATGTGTGTCTATAAGTAAATTTAGGTATAGAAGACATATAATGTCTCATCAGAATAATTATAGTATGGTCATTAAATGTGTGACTATGATTTTATAATGGTAATTATTTTTGTACTAGCGTATGTCTAAAGTTAAAGAATAGTCTACATAAAACGAAAATATGTTGCTATAAGTATTTACTAGTGACTTATTAATATATTTTGTGTTTCATTTTTTTATTTATTATTTTTGGGAGAGGGAGACCCTCTGGCAATTTTTATAAAACAAAAAAGAAAATGATAGAAAATGAGGAAGAGGGTTAAAAGGTGTCATGGAAAACTTTTACTAGTGAGGTAACGTGATTAAAGCGAGGGCGACTACAAAGTTGGATAGAGAACGAAAGATATACAGGTTGTTTGGCAGGATATGAATTTTTAAGATTTGGATTTTTAAGAGGTCTGAATTTTTAAGTGGGTCTGAATTTTTAAGATTTGAAATTTTAACATGTTGTTTGGTTGGAACCTATGAAATTATGTGCTTAATTATAAAAATGACCATTTTACCCTTTGTATTATTTTTTAATAAATTGAATATTTATTTTTCTAAAATACAATGTTCTAACTAGAAGAGGTAGAAGTATGATGTTATAATACATAAATCAATAAAAGTACATTGTTATTTCTTACATTGAACCCTTTACAAAAACAATCTTACAATAGATATGAAAACAACCTGAAAAGAAGAACACTAGCAAAGAAACATAAACACAAATTGTGTATATAAATTGAAATGTGAAGGTTTTGTTCCTGAAAATTCTACCATGACAACTTTGATGTTGTATAATGCAAATAACGGATTTTTCACCCAGACAGATTCCAAATGGAATGATACCATCAACCGGTATCTTACGCCAAAAATGACTTTATGTTCACAATCATATGCTAAACACCTACAAAAAAATATTCTAACCAGTAGGTTAATCTAAATGATTCAATCACATAAGCAACGAGTCTAAATGCAACCATTCTATAAATCAAGACAAGCTTAAACTAATAGATGATTTTAGTCAGGTGGCATCTACAAGAAGTTTTAAATTGCCATTAAATCTGATGTTGACTAAATGAACAATACACAGTGGTAATTGAGTCATAGAGCAAGGAAAAAAAGAAGAAAAAACCGATATATGAACTTATAATCTAATTCATAGCAAAAAAGAATGAACAAATCAATGTATCACTAAGAATCGATTTCTAGGAGGAAAAGAATTTTTTTGATGTATTCATGAGAAAATGATTCCAGCAAAAAAATCGATTTCAAGAATGTTTTACCCCGAGAGACGTTGTTGTTGGACTTTGATAGCGCTGGGAAAGGCATTGGCTAGAGTTGGTTCAAGGGCTGGCGGAGGCGGTCACCGGACTGGAGGGCGATGGCTGGAGATGCAGCCCTTCTATAATCTAATTCTTAGCAAAAAAAAGACAAAACAAATCAATGTATTACTAAAAATCGATTTTCAGGGGGGGGGGGGGGGAAGAAAACAGATTGATGTATTTAGGGGAAAAACGATTCCAACAAAAAATAGAATTTAGGGCAAGAAAGTACGTTACTGTTGGATTTTGTCATCGCTCGCAGAGGCACTGGTTGGATGTTGTTCGAGGGCTGGTGGAGACGGTCACCGGATTGGAGGGCGATGGCCAAATATGCGAGCGATGTGGAGGAGTGGCGACGGTCGGCGCTGTAAAGCAAGAGAAGTGGATCGTCGGGTGTAAGGCAAGAAGTTTCACCAATGTTGCAGAGTCGGCGCTAGCGATAGAGGATCGTGGAGGTCGGATGTGGGTCTCTCGTGGAGGCCGGCGTTGTAAGGCATGCTTGGCTAGACGAAGGAACCAACGAAGAAGAGGGAAAATGAAAAAATAAGTGTAGGATTTTTAATTTTAGTGAAATTTTGTAACCACCAAATATTGTTAAAAAAAGATTGATTACATAATATAATTAGAAAAAATATTGATTAATATTGATTATATAAAATATACAAAATTATATGATTTTTCTATGGTTTGTATTCATGTGTTTGAGAATAATTATCAAAACGTTTATGTGTTTGTTTCTATTTGTGTGGTTTGTTTTTTGACAAATGTAAAATAACTTTTTAACATTTTGTGATGGTTGAGGTAGGGTGAGGATGAGGATGAGGGTGAGGGTGATGTGGGGTGTGTATCATGGGGGTGGCACTTATCCATTAGGAATGGGTGTTAGATTGGTGGGTGTATGATGTACTGTAGGTGAGCTTATAGCTTTTGGCTCATCGTTTATGGTTTATGGCTTAAGGCTTATGCTTAGGTATTACGGTTCATGGATTGTGGCTTATGGATTAAGGCTTTTTAGTGCTTAAGGCTTATTAATCCATAAAGCTTAAGCTGATGGGTTCTGATTAAGGTTTGGCTTTAAGATTATGTCTTGGGGTTTGGGGGGTTAAGGTTTATGGTTTGCGACTTAAAGAGTATGACATAGGGCTTAGGGCTTAAGGCTTAGGGTTTATGGCGTAATATGGCTTATTGATTGGGATTTATGGATTATGCCCTTATGTTTTAGGGATTAGGGCCTATGGATTAAGGCTTGGGGCTTTAAGATTACTTCTTAGAGTTTGGGGCTTAAGTCTTATGGTTTATTGCTTAAATAGTAAGTCTTGGATCTTATGGCGTATGGATTATGGCTTAAGGCTTATGGTTTATAGATTAATATGTCTTATGGCTCGCGACTTATGAATTAGGGATTAAGTCTTAGTGCTTATGGCTTATGGATCAAGGTCTTATTGATTATTGCTAAACACTTATTTCTTATGACTTGTCACTTAATTATACCTTGTGGCTTACGGTATATAGCTTATGGCTTAACGCTTATGACTTATGGCTTAAGGCTTAGGGCATATGACTTAGGGCCTAAGGCTTATGGCGCATGACTTAGGGCTTCAGGCTTAGGGCATATGACTTAGGGCTTAAGGCTTAGGGCTTAGGGTTTATGGCTTAATGCTTAAGGCAAATCCTGACCTATGCCTCACCCCACATCCCACACCATCTACCAAAATCTACCACACCCCTACTCATACCACCGACCCTCCCCCATCCTTACACTCGCCCCGCCCATATCCACACCCACACTCCCATACTCACCCACCCTCACCCTATATACCATATGTTACCCTTACACATACATACCCCACACCATCCTGACTTGTACCCCTCATACCAACACCCACATACTCATCCCAACCTACCCCATATTTACCTTAACCCCACCCTCACACCCATACCTACAAACCCATGTCGACTCCTATCCCACCACCCACACACCCTACTCCCATATTAATCCCTACCACCCCATATCCATACCTAGACAACACCTAAATATTTGCTTTAGAGTAATTCCATGTTCATCATTATTAAACGAATTCTAGAAAATCTTTTAAAAATGGAGTGAAGTCAAAATTAAAACTAATTCATTAGGATAACGATTTTTTTAGATTAGAAAGGTAACTAAAATTATTATTAAACTAACTTTACTTTTTTTTTTTTAACTTTTTAAAACCCAAAATAACTAACTAGGATATTTTTTATTTCATTTTTAAAATTTTCAAAATCTTCAAAATATTGAATTTTTTTCTACGTACTATTTACATTCCCCGCTTCAGTCTGCCCTAGAAAAAATCGTTCCAGTCTCTCGATTTCGTCTCTGCTCTTATCTCGATCTGCCCCATCGTATCTTCTTTCTTACGGGAGTATCCTTCATTAGGTGCATCTTTACTCGCTGCCTCATCCTTTTGCCTCTCTCTCAATCGGTGGCTTCTCTATTTTTGCATAAGAAGACTTTAAATCAGCGAATCATTAGGTTAAACTCTTGAAGGTTAAGATAGGATTCGGTTTAATAAATCCTATATAGATCAACAATTAAATCCATACAGAGTCTCGAACTTCGTCTGTCAAATCCAAATCGGCATAGCATCGGACCAACACAAATATGGCCGCCCAAATTCGTTCATAAAACTCATAATCTGAAGATCATCACTCACACATGTACGTGTGTGTAGGATACAATTTTTTATGCACTTTTCTTGTTTTTGATTCTATCTGTAAAGAACGATATGCTAATGTATAGTTTGAAGAAAATGGAGTCATTAAGTTCAGTTAGTAGTTTGCTTTGTTTGGTTTAATGAATCATTTCTTTCTGATTTACAATAGCTGGAAATCCCATGGTTGTGAAGCAGGAGACTGAGATGCTGGAAGCGAAAATCAAGATGATTAGATAGAGAATTCAAGGGGATGTGTCGACGAATGCTGATCAAATTGCATTAGTTGAGAGATGCAGCAAGCATAAAACAAAGAGGCAAATCACTTTGGGATTCTTCTGGTTCATTCAATCACTTGAAGATGTTATATATGATCCATGTTCATCTTCAGTAAAACCAACATCTAGCTTCTTTAACTACTAATGTTTTGTAAATGTAAATGAATACAAATGAATACAGGTAAAGGTTGTTTTATTTGTTGATGTTTCAGATCTAACATATGAAAAAAGTTGTTATATTACTTGTTTTCATATTTAAACATTTTTTACAACATAATAGTATGTCTTCAAATAATAGTTTTTTAAAGTTATGATGCAGATTAGAGCAATTGTGGTGGTTGGATCTTGGACCTGATCCAAATGTAAACTATTACAAAATACAGTAAGATACCCCATTTACTCATTATATCAACATCTTATATACCTAGTGTTTTGGAAATATATCTATGTATTGAAGTTAAATTTATAAAAAGTTGTAAGTGGTGAGTAATTTGCAGGTATGAAGCTCTTTGCATTCATGAGAATCCAAGATGCATTTTCATTGCTACTAACAATGGTGCCACTATCAATATGACTAATTTACAAGAATGTTCAGGTAAGAATCAAGGGCATTCACATCTTTTGCACTCAAATATCAAGCATGAGTCTTTGTCCCACCTTTCCTTTTCGAGTCTTAGTCCTGGCTGTTTAAGTTTTCACAAATTGGGTCTCAAGGTTTTACTTTGTTGATTTAAGGGTAATATGGTAATTAAGTGTAAAGTGCTGCATTGTTAGGTGTTGGGTGCATGGTTGCTGTTGTTTATGGAGCAACAAAGAAAGAGCTAACTGTAGTCGGAAAACCACCAATCTGTTTGATGGATTTATTACAAAAGATGTAAGTAGTCAATTGAATCCTTACTTCCATTTCTTAATCTATTACAACATTATACTATTAACTTTTTCTTATAAGGACATTATACTTTGAAAATTCTATCCAATAATAGCATTATACTTATAATTTTTTGTCTTAGTGTTTGACACCTACAATTTTTTGTTGCTCCAGCTATCAAATCCACCATCCAATCAAAATTAAAACACGGAACTCCAAGATTCTAAGAAGAAAAATAAAACTTATACAACATTAGAGTGCATGACAAAAATGTTGGAAATATAGTTCTTAGTTTATGTGTAAAGTCTTGTATATATGTATCTTTTGATTACAAGTTAATGTCTTTTGTATTTGAATTGAAAACTTATCTATTGATTTTTTTATTAATGTTAATATCATTTTCTTTTAAGTTTTATCATGTTTACTGTTGTTTTTATTTTACAAAAAATTGGAAATAAAATGGATAATATGTCTATTGATAACTGTAACTTTATGGAAACATTAGTTACACCATATTAAACAAAATTCATGTGGCTTTATATGAATATTAGTCACACCAAAATTGTAATATTTTATGTAATTGTGTGTCTCTATACGATAGACAATAGTCACAATAAAAAATTGTTTGTGTGACGAATTATTAGCAAATTTTCACTTATGAAAGTAATTACATGTGGCCATTTAGTGAACATGGTTATGTTCAACGTAATTGTATGTCTGCAAAAAATACCCAATAGTTTTAATAAACTTTGAATTGTGTCACAAATTATTAGCTAAACGCTACATTGAAATAACATGTATATCGTCAGTTGGTGATATACAGTCACTACAATTACTAAAAAAGTGTGTCTACTGATAGTTTAATGCCACAATATTGGATAAAATGATTGATTATAGCAACAAAAATCCATACCCAATAGCCACACTTTTATAATACAGCTACATTTTTTCATATCATACGAACACTAAATTTTAATGTGTCCATAAGATCCCTACGATGACATCGCCTTCTGTCACACTTTCAGTGAAAAAACAAAATGTCACTATACGTATATGGTCACACTTTTATGGTGTGTCTGTAGGTCATTTTTGTACTAGTGTAGGAAACCTAACTAGTTTGATGTTGTTAAACTTGGGGCAAAACCAATTTCCGGGTACCATTCCTGTAGAATTTTCAAACATTTCTTCACTTCAAATCCTTTTGCTTGGTAACAATAATATTGAAGGGGAGATTACAGATGAAATCTTGTTGGGGATATTGAAATAGGGTTCTGGGAAATCTGGATAACAAACAGGAATCGTGTAAACACTTTCCTTGTTTGATATTCCTGATGCAGCAATTCCGATCTTAGGCACTAAATCAGAATCAATTGAAGAAGATGAAAAAGAAATCGTTCTGTGTTTTTCTCTGTGTTTCAATAGGCCGTTTTACCAGACTTATCCAACAACGGATAAATCAAAACAGTTGTCATCTTTCAAGAATGACAAATTAGACCTTGTAATGTCTTTCAAGAATGACAAATTAAACCTTGTAATGTCTTAACACAGTAGATTAGGGTTCGATACTAACAATATTTAGTAAATACAAGTGTGCACTCCCGCACCTCCTAACTTGTATTATAACTAAAATATTATTCTTGAAACACTTGTTAAGTCCATTACACTAAAATATATTTGGTGATAAAATCACCAACAATCCTCCCCTATTTTAGTGTAACCTTGAATTAACAACCTTAAAACAAAAGAAACGAAAAACTAATGCATAAATAAAAATATCGATACGATTGAATTTTTTTTGTTAGTATATTACACATTTCAAACATTCAAGAAATCAAGGTATCTTAAAGATTGAACCCATCAACTCGTTTGAATATCTGAAGAAAATATACACATTAGTTTTACAATCATCTAAAAGAAAATAACTTGACACTAATTATAAAGCTGTGTGTCCAATCCATTCTTGATCGTATAAAAGCCAAGTCCCAAGCTCTTTGAAGTACGACTACACTTCACGATCATATAGGTGATTCTTTTATTCATGTCCCTGTATACATTTTATCAAAAGAATCATTAAGAAATTAAATTCATCCTGGTCTCTACAGGTTCAAACACACGTACCTTGGGATGGTTATAATGTGTGTTCCAATTCATATAAATAAGCTTTCCACATTGAATTCAAACTCTAACATTGGTTCAGAGGGGAATTGGGTGTCTCATTCATAAGAATTCATAAGGACTTTAAGCCCATCCCTATAACAGACTTGTGCACTAAGTCTCGCGGCAAACTCTTAGTGACATGATCCGCCAAGTTTTGTTGTGATTTTACAAACTCAATTGATATCACACCATCCATTATTAGATTTCTAATCATCCCATGTCTAACATCAATATGTCTCGATTTACCATTATAAACTTGACTATAAGCTTTACTCAAAGTAGGAACACTATCATAGCGGATAGATAATGGCGCAATCGGTTTCCTCCACAATGGAATCTCATAAATCAAATTCTTTAACCATTCTGCTTCCTTGCTTGCAGCGGCCAGTGCAATAAACTCAGATTCCATTGTTGAACTTGTTATACAAGATTGTTTCTTAGATGCCCATGAGATAGCACCTCCACCAAGTAAAAATACCCAACCAGTTGTAGAAGAATGATCTTCTCTATTGGATATCCAACTCGCATCAGAATATCCTACCAAGACCGAAGGAAATCCTGAGTAACACAAGCAATAATCCTTGGTTCCTTTCAAATACTTGAAAACACGATGAACCGCTTGCCAATGTTGAGTACTAGGATTATGAGTAAATCTATCAATCTTCCCACTGCGAAAGCTATATCAGGGCGAGTGCTAGTCATATCATACATCAAAGATCCTATAGCTTACGAGTACTCAAGTTGAGAAACTGATCTGCCTCTATTAGGCATCAACTTCATGCTTGAATCCATAAGGGTGCTAACGGGTGTACAATCACTGTAATTAACCATTTGAGAATTTTCACAATGTAATGTGACTGTGTAATAGCAAGTCCCTTGTTCACCTGTTTAATCCTTATTCCAAGGATTACATCCGCTTCCCCCATGTCCTTCATAGAAAACTTTGAAGACAACAAATTCTTTGTTGCATTAATTTGATTTTGATCAGTGCCAAAAATCAACATAGCATCTACATACAAGCAAATGATCACACCAGATCCAGATGAATCAAAACGGCTGTAAACATAGTCAGATTGGTTTAAAGAAAAACCATTAGACAAAATTACTTCATCAAACTTCAAATGCCATTGTTTTGGAGCTTGTTTAAGTCCATACATTGATTTCACAAGTCTACACACTTTTTGCTCATTTCCAGGCAAAACAAAACCTTCTGGTTGTTTCATATAAACTTCCTCGTCAAGATCACCATTCAAAAAATTTGTTATAACATCCATTTGATGAATGACTAGATTGTTATAACATCCATTTGATGAATAACTGCCAAAGCGAGTAACAATCTAATGGTAGAAATCCGTGCTACTGGTGCATACGTATCAAAATAATCGATACCGGACTTTTGTCTAAAACCTTGTATAAGCAGACGAGCCTTGAATTTATCAATGGTTCCATCTACCTTCATTTTCTTCTTGAAAATCCATTTACATCCCAAAGGTTTAGAACCAGGAGGTAAATCAGATAACACCCAAACATTGTTCTGCATAATGGATGACATTTCGTCATCAACCGCTTCTTTCCAAAACGCAACATCTCGAGACTCCATAACTTCCTTAAAAGTCTTTGGATTAGTCTCAAGATGAGAGGAATATGAGTATTGATTCTTCACTTTATCCCTCGAACCTTCAACCTGTAACACTAGTCAAAATAGGTCAATAACAATCACATGTGATTATATCAATCATGTAATGTGATTTTGTCAAAACAAGTAATGTAGTAAACTCACTATGTATTTCATGATAATTCTAATATAAATATGAACTTTCATACATACTTTATAGTATAAATCAAAGTATACATCCATACGATTCCAAAAATATAGAGAACATCTAAATCTGACTTCGCGTGAAGAAGTTATGATAAACCGAATATTATAAATCTCTATAATAAGAGGAATTTAAAATAGACTTAGAATTATCTATTTGAGTCTAAAAGAAAGTCGTAGTACTCGGAATTACCTACGCGTGCATAAAAAGAACGTCAAAAACGGAGTTCGTATGGAAAGTTACGACCTTCTGAAGTTGCAGCTGTCTGAGAGCATGGCACGTGGCAGGAAACCCTAACTGTCTGGATTCATGACGTGAAGCTTAAATTCACGACGTGAAAGTAGTCCAGGACACATTTTCGGATCTAGAAGGTGCGTGACGAGGCTACGAAGGGGATAAGTTCAATCCTCACGACGTGGACATCAAATTCACAACGTGAAACCGGAATTGTGACACGTTCCGAAGCTAGAAGACGGATGGCAAGTCTACGGGGATAAGATCCAAACTCACGACGTGGGCCTTATAAAACCCACGATGTGGGGGTCCAAAATTCTTACTATAAATTGCAGGTCCGACTTCAGCCATTCTTACACCTAAACTTCTTTATCCTCTCTCCCTAGCTGAAGCCATCTAGCATCCCGAACCCCGACGACCTCGTACCGCTGACCGTTTCTGCTTAGATTACATACAATCACGCTACTAAGGCGAGTTTCACGGCCCCACTTTCTAATATTTCGGGGGGAAACGCATGCTAAATATTATATATACGTTATTATCATGTCTATATCATAGTATTTTAGTATCAACGTAGATAGTTATAATAACCGGGATATAGTTATTTCGTATTTAAAAATATACAACTATTGTAAAGTTGTTAGCATGTTATTGTTATAGTAGTATACTCATGTAGATCTTGAGTTATACTTAGGATTCTATATATATTATGTGTGCGATATAGTTCCAGAGTTATACTCGGAAGTCCTATATGTTAATTGACAAATATGTTGTTATTGTTGGTTTTATGTCAAGATAAAACCAGGTATGTTATATGTTGTGGTTATTGGTTTTATGTCGAGATAAAACCTGGTTTTAATTCTAATAATAGTTGTTATACTGCCTAAGTATTATAAATATTAGGAGTAATGTTAAAAGCATAGTCTAATAACTTAGGGTTTTAGACACGAATATGATTTTACTACTAGAACTAACGGAACTCGACAAGTCTACATGCGCTATTGTATTCATCAACTAAGATTTGAAATCTAAGGGAAAATCCTCTGACCTGTAACCGTTAATCCCGTGTGAGCGAGGAATTCGTGTATGAATAAGATACGGGTTGACAACCCCACTCGTGGTTGCTTGC